TCCTCCAACCAAGAGTACAGATATATCTCAGTGCTGATGCCTGTGAAACTGGAATGTTTATTACTAGAATGATAAGCTCACATGATTAGAAGCATAATAAAATCCTTCTAATTTTCTATTATTCCTAGTTTAATAGAAATAATAGAACAAACTGTGCTTCGATCCCAAGAGCAACAAATTCCAGTAACAACGATAATGTGGCCTCCACGTAGATCAGTGGAAACCCCTAACAGGGATCCTCTCCCTACTTGTTCTGCTTACTGTCTGCAGTTGTGTTCTTTCCTTTGCATCCTCAGAAAGGCAATTATTCAATAGGTAAAAAAATAGGTTTTCCAACCTTCTCGAATAATATTCTATCCAAATGGGAACATTTGACACACTATTCATGCTGATGATGTTTCTGATAAGTCTGTGTTGCTGATATTATATACTATACTTCCTTTCTCAGTACTGAAGATAAAGTACATTGCTGAACAGGGGGCCTGCCCCATAAGCAGGGATATTCATAAGTAAAGAACTCTAGTAAAGTAATGAGTGTCTGGCTGAAATCAACCAGAATAAGTTTGACAGGGTGAAGGGAGCGGAAGGATGATCCACTGTAGAGGGTGCTAGCTTAGGACTTGGGAGACCTGGGTTCATGTCTTTTCTCCACCACAGACTTCTTCTGTGAGCTTGGGCAAGTTATTTAGCCCCTCTATGTGTCAGTTCCCCATCTCTAAAATAGGGAAAATACTTCCCTATCTCACAGGGTGTTGTCATGTGCTACATTAAAGATTGCAAGGCACTCAGGTATTGCAGTAATGGGAATAATAGAAATAACTAAATTCTGCTTACAATTTACACTCTTCAATCACATTCTCAGCTTTCAGAGTAGCAGCCGTGTTAGTCTGTATCCGCAAAAAGAAGAACAGGAGTACTTGTGGCACCTTAGAGACTAACAAATTTATTAGAGCATAAGCTTTCGGGGACTGCATCCGAAGAAGTGGGCTGTAGTCCACGAAAGCTTATGCTCTAATAAATTTGTTTGTCTCTAAGGTGCCACAAGTACTCCTGTTCTTCTTTATTCTCAGCTTCTTACTCAGGAGTAACTCCCTTTGAAATCAGTTGGAATTATCCCTGATTAAAGTCCTCCGGATCTGGCTTCTGATGTACAGGTAAAGCAGTTTATATAATATGCAATGTGGAGCTTCCAAAGAGTTGGTTCCTATTCAGCTACTGCAAAGTTTCTATTTTATGAAGAAGGGGAAGATTATGCTAAGTTCCCCAGACGCTCTCTGTGCAAATACCTTATTCTGTAAGGGCTAGTCTACACTGGCAACGCTAAAGTGTTGCCGGGGCAGCACTTTAACGTGGCTTGCGTGGTCGCGTCAGAGCGCTAGGAGAGAGTTCTCCCAGAGCTCTAAAATAACCACCTCCACGAGGGGCGTAGCTCCCAACGCAGGTGCACTGTCTACACTGGCGCTTCACAGTGCTGAAACTTGCTGCACTCAGGGGGGTGTTTTTTTACACCCTGAGCGAGAAAGTTGCAGTGCTGTAAACTGCCAGTGTAGACAAGCCCTAAGTGACTTAGAGCAGAGGTGGGCAAACTACAGCCTGTGGGACCCTCCTGCCTGGCCCCTGAGCTCCTGGCCTGGGAGGCTCACCGCCGGCCCCTCCCCTGCTGTTCCCCCTCCCCCGCAGCCTCAGCTTGTCGCACCGGCGGCGCAATGCTCTAGGCGGCAAGGCTGCGAGCTCCTGGGGCAGCGCAGCTGCAGAGCCACGACCTGACCTGGTGCTCTGTGCTGCGCGGTGGCATGGCTGGCTCCAGCCAAGCAGCGTCACTGCGTGTCCTAGTGCTCTGGGCGGCACGGCTATAGTGCCGCCAGCCAACGGCACTCCAGGAAGCGTGTTAAGGGGGCAGGGAGCAGGGGGGGTTGGATAGAGGGCAGGGAGTTCGGGTGGTGGTCAGGGGGCGAGGGTGTGGATAGGGGGCGGGGCGATCAGAGGGCAGGGAACAGGGGGGTAGAATGGGGGCTGGGGTTCTCAGGGGGCAGTCCGGATTGAGAGCAGGGGTTGGATGGGGCAGTGGGGGGCAGTCAGGGGCAGGGGTTCCGGGGGCGGTCAGGGGACAGGGAGAAGGGGTGGTTGGATGGGGCAAGGGTCCAGGGGGCAGTCAGGAATGAGAGGGGAGGTTGGATGGGGCGGCAGGGGGGGCAGTCAGGGGCAGGGGTTCTGGGGTCTGTCAGGGGACAGGGAATGGAAGGGTTGGATGGGGCAGGAGTCCCGGGGGGGGCCATCAGGGGGCGAGAAGCAGGAGGGGTTGGATAGGGGGCAGGGCCGGGCCATGCCTGGCTGTTTGGGGAGCCGTCCGTCCATACAGTTTCAGAAACCCAATGTGGCCCTCTGGCCGAAAAGTTTGCCTGCCCCTGACTTAGACCCTGCACTTTCAAAGACTTATGCACATGCTTTACACATTGTGAGCTCATTCAGTGGGATTACTGATAGTGCATAAAGTCAAGCACAGGTAAGCTTTTGCAAGATCAGGGTCTTGTACTCTATTACAGCAGTTCTCAAACTGTGGGTCGGGCCCCCAAAGTGGATCGGGTCCCCATTGTAATGGGGTCACCAGGGCTGGCGTTAGACTTGCTGTGGCCCAGGGCTGAAGCCTGAACCCCACTGCCTGGGGCCGAAGCTTGAGCCCCACCACCCGGGGCCGAAGCCTCAGGCTTTGGCCCCCCCATCCCGGGGCGGTGAGGCTCGGGAGGGCTCAGGCTTTGGTTCCCCCTCCTGGAGTCGTGTCGTAATTTTTGTTGTCAGAAGGGGGTCGTGGTGTAATGAAATTTGAGAACCCCTGTTCCATTACATGCAGGTGTGACTATTTCCCTACAGTCTCTCTCTCTCTCTCTCTCAATTTCTCTCCAGCATACCTGGCGTTGCCTGTATAAATATTTCACTTTTCTGTACGTAACCATGTGTCTAGATCCCCCACTCTGCTAGTAAAGTGCTTTGTTCCACGGCAAGTAACAGATAGAGCTGATTGAACAGTATTTGTCAAAACAAGAGAGTGACACATGTACATCTTTTCTTTGGTTTGAAAATCATTCACAAACTTTTCTTGCTTTCTGCCAGTGAGGTCAGAGCTATCTGAAGTGTCTGAATGAACAATACTCAGCCTCTGGGTTGCTCTTGCATTGTTTCATTTGACTATTTACAATGTGATTGATCACCTGGCACTTTTTAACGGGAGAGTAACAAATAGTTATTCTCCACAGTGCACAAGAAATAGTAGATAATAAAAAGTGAATACAGATTCATGAAGATTTTGGCATTTGCAAATACTTTCATGACCATACAGAGGTCATCTGAATATTCATGATTAATTAATAGCATGGGTCTGCAAACAGTAATGAATTGAACCTGAATCATTTATTTAGTAATATAGCTGCCTTTCTGGGGTTTTTTCATTATTTGACCAAGAGTTTTTTTTTCTGGTAGATATTTATCTCAAGTGTGTAAACAATATGGCTTTCTAATAAAATAAGCAAGTCCTGACAGACATTCCTTTTTAAAAAGATAATTTTATAAAATACATATTTGTGTGTGTAGAATTAATATATGTTCCTGCATCAACTGTGTTATATTATTTATGTTAGTCACCTTTTCTTTTGAATTATAAAATTATCAGGACAATGTGCTTATTCAATAATTCATTCACATATATCCAATTAAGGGGACATATTTTATTTCAGGGAAATAGAAGACATAATTATTGTCATTCTTAACTTTTGCTGTAGTAGTTACAATAGGATTGTTATTCTTTTGAGTGTCAAAACCAGCTATCCTATTGTGTATAAAGGTGAAAACTGCATTTTCTCAGTGGATTTAACTGAGACATATACAGACGAGTAAAAGGTAACAGCAAGTTATGTATCCATTTATAAATGTTAATTAACAGTTATTAAAATCATTCCCATAGCAATAGGCCCAGATCCTCAGCTATATCACAACTCCATTTGGCACACCTGAGGGGGAGAGGAGTAAAGGTGGCTTACATTCACTTTTATACTTTCCTGATTCCTGGGGCTGCTGGGAACCTGTCTGACTTCTGGCATAATTTAGAGCAGCCTCCGGGCTGCTCTAAATTGTTTCCAGTTGCAATGACACCAAATAGGCTGTTCCACAGCCAGGGCCAGCTCTAGCGTTTTTGCCGCCCTAAGCAGCAAAAAATAAAAGAGCTGCGATCGCGATCAGTGGCAATTTGGCGGCAGGTCCTTCGCTCCAAGAGGGAGCGACGACCCCGCCGCCGAATTGCTGCCGAACGGCCAGACGTGCCGCCCCCCTCTTCATTGGCCACTCCAGGCACCTGCTTGCTATGATGGTGCCTGGGGCTGGCCCTGTCCACAGCTGTGACCGGTTGGAATGCAGCAGTATTCCAGCCATACCTCTTCTCTAGGATGTCCTTAACGTACACACTACACCAGATGGGGAAGGGGCTAGCCCAAGGTCATCTATGCTTGCTGTATCTTACTTAGGAGTCCACTACTCCAGAGGAATTCTCAGATAACCAGTTAAACCAGGAAAATCTTATTTCTATATTGGCATAGTGTGATATATGATTATAAACTATGGGCTAAATTTTGAAGTCAATGGAGTTAGTCTGCATTTACAGTGATGTAACTCAGAGCAGAGTTCAGCCAAATGAAAGTCAAAAAGATGGAGCTAAATGTAACCATGTTCTCTTGTGAGAAGCTTAAATTATCCATGATTTTTCTTGTAGAAATTTTGTGAGTTCAGGTAATTGGAACATGATATACCAACATAACAATTAAGTACTGCTAGACACTATTTGGGAAAGAGACAATTTTACCTGAAGATGCCCCAAAAAGTTTTGCCAAATGTTGCAGAGTATTTTTTCCCTGAATTTCTTATACTATAACTTTAGGACAAACTATTGGCTGTCTAGAATGCTCTGCACTGCATAAAGTGTTGAAGGGAAAAGATGATAGAAATTAGGTCCTTACCATCTGTTTTCTTTGATTCATTTCCCATACTAGACTGATCTTTCTCATCTGACTGGTTATTATCATCCTTTAATTCACCTGGAAATAAGAAGTGAAACATATTATAAGCATCTTTAATATAGGCTGTAGCTCAGTACTGCCTTTAATCCAATCAAATTAAAGTATTTGAGAAAGATTTGTCTTCATGGGAAATAGCACATATAGGAATTAGTTGATATTTCGGATTAGCACACTATTGTGATAAGTCACCAGATAAGATTTACACAACTCTAACAGAAAATTCAAACCTCACAAATAGCTTGTGGATTTCAAATAAATGTTGGTATCTCTTTAAGTAGAAAAAGGAAGTACAAATGTGAATCTACATGCATAACCCCTTTTGGCAATAACAGCTGTGTCTCACAATAAAATGTAGCATTGTCCTTGTTCCAAAATCAAGACCTCTAAAATTTGCACTTTTAAAGGGCAGTAGTTTTGAGAATGGCCATGGGACACTGTTTATACATGACATCCTCCCACAAACAAATCCCTGTCTAAAGGCGCCATCTTAAAATATCCCAAACTATACAATAAAATTTTATTTGACTTTTAGTTACTAACCACATCTACTTCTAGACCTGTTTTTACGGGATGATGCTTAAGGTTCATAGCGGTAAGTGGCTGGGTCCCCTATGTAGCTCTAGTCCAAGAAAGCAAGGCCTTAGGTGACTTAAAATGAAAATAGCAATTGGACCCCTGAGGTACATTCCTACTTTATGAAGCCTGGGAATGTGCACTGGGACCATCCTCAGTCTTCATTGCCAATTATCAGGTACTTCAATCACAAACTGGAGAGCATGGCAGAACTACCCAGACCAAACTCTTCCTCCTTCTCTTTGAACCAGACTATGTTTGTTGTCAAACTATTGGAAGTCAATATTTTAAAAGAGTCAGACTTTGTCAGGGCTCGTTCAGCTCCAGTGTCCAAACAGCAGTGACCAGAGATACGTCTCCCTAGTTGCTCAGTGAGGCAGTGCATGCACGGACAAATGGGGGAAGCAGGACCCTCTACACAAAGGAACAATAGTGGATCAGCATCCCATCAATCCCCCAGCCCACCCAAAGACCTCCAAAAGGCCAAACCTCAGATAGTCATACCTGGAGTGGCAAAATATTGTTTCCCTTTTCCAACCCAAAGTAGCATCCAAATTTAGGACCATGGGGATGTTCCAGTTGGGAGTATAAATTGGTGATAGTTAGGTATTTCTTTGGTGCAGTTTTGTTTATTTACAAAAAATGTGCAAAGCCCTGTCTCTCTGAATGCAGAAGGAATCAAATAGCATGAAACAGCTTCTTTTCCTCACAGAACTAGGAACACTCTTTTCAGCCTGCACCCCGACCCTTTCTGGGGTCAGACACAGTGCTTCCAGCTGCCGGCTGTCTGAATCTCTGTTTTTTGTCTGTTCTGCGCACACACGCACACACACACACACACACACACACAATACTCAGACAAAAGCTCCTGGGTGGGCTCACATACTCCTTTGGTCTTTGGTGGAGGCGTATCCTTGCCCTTATGTTAACTGAAGGTTGTGTTCACTCTTATCAATCTGAATAAGGTTTTAACTCAACCCACAACAAGGTTTCACCCAGTTCATCATAACACCCTCCAACACAGGTTTGCACATCATCCCAATGAGGCCTAACATGGTGACACCCAAAAACTCATGCCAAACACAAAGAAAAGAAATACTTTAACAAGTTACAAGTCATACAACTATACTTAACTATTTACATATACACAGTGTCTTTCTGTCAGGACAGTTTTAAATCACCTACATAAAAGAATTTTATTCCCACCCAAATCTCTTTGGGGCTTTTTTCTGTATTTCCTATCAGTGTCTAACAACCCCTGCCCATTCTGCTTTAAAATGGGGAATTCATCCCTGTGACAACTTTTTCAGTTTCAATTTCCAAAGCTATATTCTCAGATTCGGGGGGGGAAGCCTACCTGAAATTCTGTCCTTCAAACCACAAGCACTAGCATCTGTGTCCAATATGAAAAGGGTTTTGAAACATGGATAGACCAAGACAGAAGCAGCCCCCAGAGCTGTTTCCTACTCTGAAATGCTAAATCACACCCTGCTGACCAAGTTTCTCTTTCTTACTATTTACTGCTTGTCAGAAACATTCAGCACACAAACAAGGATCAGTTCTTGCTTCAGACCTGCAAGAGATTTGGCAGCTAAGATTCCCCCCAAGACCCTGCATCTGCAAACAGGTTTCAATCACTTTCCATCTTTCCCTTGCTGGAAAGCCACCTCAGCATGTAGTGGTTATAATACTTTCTACCCTGGGGGTAGGACAATTCATTCATTGCAAACGTAAGAACAAGAGAACATAAGAATGGCTATACTGGGTCAGATCAATGGTCCATCTAGCCCAGTAACCTGTCTTCTCCTCCCTGGACAAATGACCAGGGAGGAGTATAAAAATATTGCTCAGGCGTGCAGGAGTGAAATCAGGAAGGCCAAATCACACTTT